GTGTTTTTATAGTGTAATGAAATTATATGTTATGTGTACTTACAGTCTGTGCTTTTTGAAAATGACTGTAGTAAGTGAGTTTCTAACAAAGAGAAAAAATTATAAAATGTTGCTTAGAAAATTGAAAAACTTGGCTTAAAAATGTTATTGATGATGATAGCTAATTTTTTCTTGTAGTTAGCTGTTAAAATATAGCAGTATAAAGTCTGTTATAATTTTTATATTTGACATGCTTGAAAATTAAGTTTTTAACAAAGGTTATGGTAAAATAATATATGGAAAAACAGTGAAAGTTATTTTCTTATACTAAATATATAAGTGTGTTTATGTGTAAAGAGAGAAGGGTGGTTTGAGTGTGTTGTAGGTTGAATGTTTTGTACAAAAAATAGATTTAGGTAACATTAATTTCATATTTATTTACTGGTCAGGTTGGTAATTAAATAATTCTTTACATAATAGAAATCAAGTAGTTATAGCATCTTTACACAGGCTGAGAACACATAAATAACATTAATGGTTCACTTCTACTGAAGCAGAAACACAGGAGACAAAGAAAATAACATTGTTTGTCTAGCTGGTGTTTCATTATATACATTATATTGTAACAAAAAGAAAATCAATGGTTCCAGGATTAGAATATTGGGTAACATGGAGTTAAAATGATCATTTATTTGAGTGAACCTGACACTGTGAATTAAATAATGAAATTTAGATCAAATATGGTTTAATGGAGAAAGTCAATAGAGTGTAAAAAAAAAAAAAACACAGAAAATATTGTTATGGAATTAACAGTAAATGTTCTGATATCAGGATAAACCTCAGTAAAATTTTTTCAACCCAGTAGGTTACTTATAAATATAAAATTTAAAAAAGATTGGATATCGTATCAGATGTGTTTTGGTAGGATTGTTATTTTGTGTGCATGTGAAGAGGCTTAACAGTAAATTTTATACTCTACACTGTAGCATGGACATACCAGTTTTTAACAGCCACTTCATATTTAATATCTTTCAAGTTAAATAATGTTTAACCAAAAATGTTGCATTAAAAATTAAACTTAATTGAAGCTGTGAATACATATGTGGTATTCCAAAAGTAGTTTACTAAGCCAAAATATTTGAAATGTGTGTGTTAGTGTCTAACTTTTTCTTGCCCAAATTAAGGAAAGAAAATGGACAAAAAAGTTTTGCAACATTTTACTTGCATAGACAAAATGTCAAAACTTCTGCACTTACTCATTAGCTATATATGTAAAAGATGCTGAACAGTTGCCTTCTGATCTTAAACCACCCTGTTATGATAATGATATTTAACACTCTAGCATGGCAAACTCTCGCAGAATGCATTGTCACCCATTAGGAAAAAGACTAATAAGACTGGATAACCAATTAGTACAAGAGATTAGATAAATTTTTTAGCATAGAAAACCTAGAAAAACCAATGGAAATGACCCTGAACAGTGTGTGACTGACACAAAAATAAGGCCAACTCGGGTTAGAATTGGTTATCTACATGCTGTATGGGAACATGTGCACGTAAATGAGAGTTGTTTTTTTTTAATTTTGAGAGCATGAAAAATTATCTCTCTCTGAGCTAAATTAGAAAGAAATACTTGGTATTGTACAAACACCACAAATAGGGCAAGTCACTTTGTTTTTCATTTTAGGCTTAGAGATTTGTCACCAAGTTAAAGTACATAGTAATGATGAGTTTCTTTGGAACATGTCTGACTTGAAAATGGTGGTATTATTGTTAAGTAAGTGTCACAAGTAAGCACTTTAAATTATATAACATCTCAACATTAAAACCAGCTATAACTACATCCTGATAGTATTGAATGTTCTACTAATTTTCAAAATCAAAATCTTCTTTTAATGTACAGTTAAGTACATAAAAAAACTTATGCAGAAGACGTATAAGATTATCTAGAATAAAACTGGTCAGTTGTAATTATATATTTTTTTATTGGAAACTGTATCTCACTAGACATCTTTCATTTTGAATTCTGGATGTATTAGTTTGTATTTCTTTTTGGTCAAAATACTTACCCAAGTTTTGAGTTTTAATTGTTTTTTAGAACTGGAATTTATTGTACTTTTTATTGTATTTGCAGAATCTTTAATTTTTACAGGTTTATATCATACCTTTTTGTTCAGTAGTAAGCTCTGTTAAGGGCATTAGCATATACTTAATTTGGTTAAATTATTACCAAATCTTTAGGGCTGAATGTGGCTTAATTGTTAGCATGCTGAACTCAGAATCAATAGGTCCACAATTCATGCTGCAATGCTGATAAACATCACTCCACATTTTCAGCTGTGGCGACATTATAAGAGTGGCAATCAGTCCTTTTATTTGATGTAAAGCTGAAAAGGATCTTTCTTTTTTCGCAGATGCTTTTGCCTCTCTACTCCCAAAATTAGGGATGGCTGTATTTAAATCTTTTTATATCAAGATTACTCCAAGATTATGGAACCTCTCTCTCTTATACACACAAAATGTCTCATTGTGTTCATTGCCACTCATTTACTATTTTTTGAAGAGATATTAATGAATGCTTAAATATATTCTTTGTTAGACTTTTATGTTTTAAAGTACACACTAAACTTATGAAATATAACATCTACTGTTACATCACATTGCACTAATATTTATAAATACACTAAAATTCATTATTAACTTACCTAACTGTTGTTCATCTTAAAGTATGATTTACATTTTTACGTCTTGTATATTTTATTTCCAAAATTTATGGGATATATGAAAAATTACATGTACAACCATCTACATTTTGGCATTGTGTATTTTCTTGTATGTGTTATTTTTAATGTTTTATATTTCATTTATTAATGTAAGATTATTTGATAGGCTTAAGTCATTTTAGTGGTTGAAATTGTGAAATTCCAATCAACAATGCATATTCTCATTGCATGTCATTAAGTTTTATATATATATATATATATTTGAAGCACAAAAATCTGTGTCTGTTTGTCCATTATCTAACTGCTACTAGGTTGATGGGCCAATCTCAACCAGCCTTTGTGGGATGATAATTTGAAACAATGATCATGTTAGTGAGAGGTTCACAACCGCCTCTACCACCACCACCCTTATTATTGCTGTTGTTTAGCATTTATTACCTTTGATGTAAATTAACGTTATGTACATTCATAGGTGGCTCCACGTCCTTACACCAAAAAACAAACTATTAAATTTTCTATAACACAACATACACAGTGTGGGGAGGAGGGCACACAAATGTCTTATGTATCTCGGAAAGTATGCTAGCACTCTATATAAAGAAATGAAACAAAATGGCTGCCACTATTGCAATAATACATAAGCTAAGCTGAAGTTTCTACTCCAACAGCCACAATAAGGCTGATATGAAGAGCTGTTTTTTTAATTATACCAGCTTCCTACTTTGACTTGTGACCATTCAACTTCAGCCCATAAGATACTTCAGCAACCATTGACCATTATATTAATTAATCACATGAAACACTGGAAGGACATTAAGAGGTGGGTGTTGAAAGTGGGGAACAGAAAGTGCCTCTACTGCCACTACTTTTGCCACTTACTCTTTTTAAAAAGTCACCTTGACCATAGCATTGCACAGTGTATACCATGTTTTAAGTATATACTTAATGAGTTCTTAAACCTTACACAAAACTTCTGGTGAGTTAATAATGAATACTGTAACAATATGTTATGTTATGAATAAATTATGTGAAAGTTATGATTTTTGTGTTATTTATCATAGCATCCACCCACACATTTTTTTTAAGTTCATAACCTGAACAAAGGACAAGTACCTCATCTTGTATATAAGTAAAATCAACTAACAACTCAAATTTAACATTCATTTGCAACAAATTAAAAAGTATTTGTATATCATGAAAAAAGTCTGTCAGTTTTTATTTATAGTAATTTTCATGTTTATTTATACATATCCTGTAAACATAATTTTGTTTAAAATGTGTAAGAAAATACTTTAGAAGTTGAAGTGCTTCTTGGTTGCTATACTTTGAATAGATGTGAAAAATGTATTGTAATTTATATCCTGCACTATACTTTCGTTTACTTACAGTTTAAATTGACCTGAAAAAATGGATATTTACACTGGTATTGATCACTAGAACATTGTGTTATTTTGTTTTTCTTTTCTTTTCTGTATTAGTTCAATGGTTTATATTGTGAAAATAAAGGGAACTTTTGTGCCAAACAGTTGTAGTCTACCCATTCATTTTGGAAAGTCTAAGTAAGCTCAGTACTCAACACAAGTATCTCTACCAGTTAGATATCATTAACTGATATTTTTTCCATAAAGGACATCAACATGATATAAAGGAAATGGAGATGATGACAGCCAATGCTAACTCCTCCCATTTTTCTTTCTTGGAGCAAACTGTTGGCACAGGGCTGAGCTGTAATTATCCATCAGACATGTTATTATTAATAACAACTTCCAAATCATCTGAGTGAAAGTAAAAATAAATGTATAAGTAATATGTGAATCACCTTATATGTATTATATTGCAAACCTTTTTTTTATCATTTGCCCTGTTTATTAAGTTTCTTTCTAAATACATCTTTATTTATGTAAATATTTTCTCAACTGAGTGTAAATAAAAAAGTGAATTAATTTAAGAGTTTAATTTCCTTGTGTGTCACTGGATTCTGGATAATGATCTTATTGCTATGAATAAGATATCTGTCAGATTTAAGAGGATTTTGTACTGTTTCATTCCATATTTGTTACATTAAAATGCCATGTCATGATCATTGCTCGAAAAATCATACCTCTTCTAATAATTTAAAATCCTCACTTATTCAAAAATATAGTAGGCCATCTAAGGTAGGTTAGATTACCTTTAGATTGATGCATGTACACACAAATAAAGTATAGAGTAAATAAAAGTGCTTATAATTTTTAGTATTTGGAAATTTATTTTAAATATATAGATTCTTATTCTTCTTTATATTTATCTCATTCTTACCACTATTCATTCCATAGGCCCAGGAGAACAGTGGGTTCCTGTTGATTATTTGAAGACATCAGGAACAAAGATCGGAAACATTTTCGTATGTGACACGTGCAACAAAGTTTTCAAGACAAAGGACCTTTTGAGGCAACACAGAGAATTTCATGAACATACTGTACATGAGTGCTCATTCTGTCACAGTACCTTCTTATACAGAAGAAACCTACAGTATCACATGAAACGATTGTGTAAATACAGGGCATTTTGAAAGTAAATTGAGAATTTACTAAGATTGTAAATTATGCTGTGATAGTTTTCATGAAATTAGATGGCAAATCAAATTTGTTTACAAACAGTTTTTTAGTTGTTTTTTTTGCTCATAAATATTTTTGTAGCTTTACAATGTGAAAAAAAAATTGAAACTTACTTTAGATGTTACAGGATCATAAATATATATGTTTTTAACATTAATTTTACATGTACACAAATCAACAAATAGATAAACAATTTATTTTTCAAAAAGAAGCACTTTTTAATGAAAGAAAAGTGAAATGGCATATAAGTTTGCCTTTTAACTAGGGATTCATGGGTACCCGGCCAGGGATTGGACTACCCGGTAATACTCGGCTCCAGCCAAGTGTTGAAGTTAGGAATCTAAGCCCTAATCTTTGTGGCAACTAATGTGGTACTGAAAGTTAAAGTCAATAATTGGTTTACTTAAAAAAAAACATGTTCTGAGCAACAAAAACTGACCACCTGCTGAAAGTTGGGGATTCAGAGAACAATGGGGGATAATAACAGGCATGGTTTGGCTTTAGAAGTGGATTTCTGGAGATGGTGGGGTTTTGAGAATAATAGGGTTTGAGAAGTTGGGGCTAGGCATTGAAAGTTGAAAGTAAAACATGAATGTTCTTCGGTGATTATTTGGTTAAGTGTAATAAATGTCAATTTTGTTTTTGTTTCTAATTTTTGTGTATGTTGTGTTTTTTTTGGGGGGGAAGAACCCGTTCCCAGTTCACACTTGGCCCTGGCCAAAACTTAGTGAACCAGATCCAGTATTTGGCCAAATTTTGCAAATCTAATACATTAATGAATGAAGAAACATTCACACACATCTTACAATCATGTAACATGTTCCTCTTTTACATGTTTTGTTATCTCATAAATAATGCAACAGAAACGTACAATGTGTTACACTTTCACACATTTTTAGTGCAGCAGAAAACCATAACATATTACTCTTGTACACACCTTGTTATTGAGAATAATGCAACAAGAAGATGTAACATCTCATAACTACACATTTTAATGCAACAGAAAATGGTAACATGTTTGTTATTAAGGATAATTGAACAGAAAACAGTAGCATGTTACACTCATCTGCATTGTTTTTATGGATAATAGAACATAAAACCATAATTTACAAGTCATATTACTGCAAGATCAAGGTAACAGAAAGGCAAAACATTACTCATGTAAATATTTTGCGATTACTTGGGTAATGAAACAGAAATCTATAACATATTCAAGATATCATAAATGGTTCAACTAAACCTGTCGTGGAAATAATAAGCATTAGATTAGAAATGGTTATAACCTGTATGAGGTTAATCTGTTAATATTGCCTCCTTTTGCTATTGTACTTTTGTTTTGTAGATCAAATGTTAATTATGACTAATTCAGAAACTCTATATTTATTAACATCAACATTTCAGTGTTTTACCTTCATTAGGATGTTTTTAACTTCTATCATATTAGATCATAAAGTTCAACTCAATCATTGAAATAGATATTAAAGTGGGATTTAAGAGTTGAGACAATAATAGAAATGTCCTGATGACCGATGAAATTCAAACACCAAAATGTTGATATTTATAAATGTTTCTGGATTTAAGCATAAATATAATTTGGTCCAATAACAAATATACTTAGTACATTTCAACTAGCATAACAAAACTTGAAAAATAAATGCTAGCATACTGTTTTGGGGTACAAATGCTGTATTGAAAATTTACCCAATTACCTATATTCTGAGTCCAACCAGTTAATGAATTTACCATTACTGTAGAACAGCATTTGAAAAAGTTTCTAATGTGTCTTAGTTTGAGGATCATTTGATGTTGTTTTATTAGTGAAATAGAGTATGGTTAAACTATATGCATATTTTCAATATGGATGAAAGCATTTAATGCAAAAAGATGTATTCAAAAGTAGTTTCAAAACAAAGTTTAATTTGTCACATAGATGAAAAAAAAAAATTTTATATGTATATAATGATCAATGTGCAATCACGCTGAAAAAAAAAATCAATCTACCAAACTAACAAGATATTGTCAGGAAGATCATTTTCCTGATATTTGTCATCAAAAAGTCATATTTAAAAAAGTTTGTATATTCAAGTTGCTGTATTGATTTGAAATTGTTGTCTTGAGGCCTAGTACTCCAGCCCAGAGTTAAACCAACTTTTTACCTTAGTAAGAACTACTGTATAAGGTATCTGAATGACTGGTAATATGTAAGTGTTCACGAAATATAATAGCTGGTGTTTCTGTATGTCGAAGTTATTGATATAACATGTTAATAATTCACGTTAGAAACAGTTCTTTTAGTAACTAATTACTTTTGAAAGTTATTTGTGCAAATTGAACTGTAATACTAGCTCATACAAAAATTGATTGTGACTCAACTAAGTTGTAATCTTGTATTTTCAGAAAATGAAATTTTCCGAACCATCAGCTCAGACATTCGTCAAATCAACCACGAATCTTGGACATGCAGACCCAACAGTACATCTGCAGCTGTGTGTCAGATATGTGGGAAATTCTTTAAAGCTAAACAAAATCTCAGGCAACATATGCAGATTCATGGACAGAAATTCCAGTGTATAAACTGTCAAGCTACTTTTAAATTTAGATCTAACCTTTTTCGCCATCAACGACGATTTTGTCCATTCCGAGTGCAAGAAAAGAGCTGATAACTTTTAGTTTCTTTTAATCAGCAGTACCATGAATGGTTATAGGGAGTAATTGTTGTTCCTTCCATGATAAAATATAAGGTAGAAGAATAAAACAGGTTTAATAATTTTTAAGTAAAAAGATTGAATATTTTTTCTTATCTTGCTATATCATATTTAGTAACATTTAAAATTAGATAACATATTATAATGAACTGCAAATTTTGTTTTTACTAAAACATTTAATTTTATAATTGCTGTTCTCATTTTAGTATATATATGGAATATGTATGCTTCATATATATACCATTTGGTCACTGTATTTTTTTTACATTTTGTTTAACCATTCAGTGAATGACATCATAATAATGTTCTTGCTAGAATAATGTTATTGGAAGAAAAATTGATAGTATCAACTGCCACACAGCATAACAGCCAAATACTGTTCTTGGGACTTTCAAGGTTTGGAATTTATTTCTCTACAAGACCTTATGATTCTTTTGACCAATATATGTACAATATATGCAGATCCAGTTGAAAGTTATTAAAGCATTTTTGGTCATTTTATCCAGATTTTTTAAACATTATATTATTAATATACATTGTTATCTCACCTTTTCTTTAGGTCTCCATGGTTTCAGTGTATTCCTCTTCATAGTGGTAAATAAAGTGAATGGTTTATGCTTTCTTGGGGTTAGTGTTAATGTTATTTTTGAAAGCTGTAAAAGAGTTACAATTTTCAAACCTACTGGTGCCCATGAACCACCTGTTAACTATTATAATTCTGATTTTTTTTTATCAATGACAGGGTTGGATACTTCATATAAAGCTAGTAACATGAAATCATGTGCAAGTTCAAAATAATAACAATTAAGAAGGATGTATTGAACAAAGAAAGGTCTTAATGGGATCTGTGGCTTCAGAAGTGTCATTATTTTATTTTATCAATAAATACACATTTGAATATCCATAAAACTTTCAAATTTAGTTTACATAAGCTGCTATTGCCCAACCATGATCTTCAATTTTAAAGTAACAAATTGTAATGTGTTGTTAGTATTCTTGTTAATTTGTAGCTCACAGGTAACTTGTTTAGTATTCTTCCAAATATTTGTATATATGTAGCCAAAACATAAGGTTTCTAGTATATTATAACTCAATAAAGACTTTACTTTCGATTAGTTCTTGTTGTTAAAAAATAACAAAAGTTTTTTCTTTAAAAGGAAGTAAAGAAAAATGTTTTAGTTTACTTATAGGATAATAATTTTTTCTGTTAATATTTTATAGTAAACTATAGCAGTACATCACAAAAAATCGGAACTTTGTAAATACACCACATTAAAAGTTCTGTACAATACTGAATTTACACTAGATTAACTGATCAACATCTACAGAATCATGTCCATTGCATCCCAGTGTCTAGTCTGTGAGTCCGTGGTTTGCATCCCGTTGCCGCAAAAACAAGTTCCATGTTTTGTGGCAATGGGTGTGCTATGAGAATTGACAGTTAAATCTCACCTAAATCTCTAGCTTCTCATGAATTTCTGAAACAAACAATCTTTACTTCCAATATCACTGTCCACAGCCCTATATTAATGGAAAATAGCAGCTGATCACATGGAGATTGAGCTTTAATGTAGTTATTCAATTGGAAGCACTGGAAGGCATTTGGGTTATATACTTTGTTCAAGTGTTTGCTGTTTTAGTACTAGTATTAAATAGCCTCAATGCTGTGTTAGTTTTAATTCCCGAATACCATCTACTGAGTGTTATGCACCAGGCTGTACGAGTACTAGAGGGTATATTTTTCCAAGAACAAAGAAAAAACAACTGAAACTATGGGTGAAAATTTCAAGCAATTCTACAAGGGTAAGAAAACTGCACCAATGAATAATTGGGAATTGAAACTAACCACTGAAATGTTAACAATATGCTGAATATTATCTAATTTCAAACAGTGTATTGTACTGAAAAGTGCATAGAAATATGGTTAATAAACAGCTTTATAAAACAAAAGTACTCTGTTTAATTTTCATGTGTCATTCTGAACTGTATTATGCTATAATAAATAACTTGTCTTTCTTCATTAGAGTACATTTAATCAAAATTATATTTGTATGTTTTGTAAAAGTGCTCATCTAGAACAGCAGAACTAATATTTATGAGAGTTGGTTTGGTTTTTTATTGGCATTTATTATTTCAAATCTTGTCTGGTATATACAAAATACCTGCATGTTGTTTTGGAACACAGAAATTAACCTTGAAGTTAGAAGTATTACTAATGGTTTTGATCTTGCTGTAACATTATGTGCTCCTCTAATTTTAAATAGTTTACAAAGGATGGTGTGATATTTTCATTCCTTGCACTCTAGCAACAGTTCATTTCCAACAGTGTTTTAATCAATGATTCGGTCAGGTGTGGCAACCCATTACAGTACGTTATGCAAACAAAAATTCCACATTTCTTTATTTTTGCACTTGTAGCTTTTTTCATATTTATCTGTTGCTACAGTTTCATACATTCAAGCATATTGCAGAGGTGGAGATCTTGATATTATTGCATTTGTTAGTCTCTTTGATAGCTTATGCATATCTGTGTGTAAAGTTGACTTCACTATTTCACCAAAGTTACTAGACGTCAATCTACAAGACCTAGTCTCTAGTCAAATTTGATATATTGCTTGCTCCTGTTTCAGTTTTTTCCCACAGTATATAATTTGGCATTTTCAAAATAACTTAATTAAATTACTTAAGACATTATCACACACAGTTCACAAAGTCTAAGCTTTCTACTTTATCATGAACTGTCCTTTTTTATATAGAAGAATAAAAATAAATCCTACTAATTTACCAGTTCATTTTTATGCCCACATACTTTTGCTCCTTGTTTCTTTAATTCATTTCTCAGCTGTAATAGCCTATGCATCTCGTATTTTGTCATTTTTTGTTGTAAAGCTCAATGAATATGATATTTCTAATACAAATGTGGCAAAATATAGGATTAGAATAACCCAGTTACGTGTCAGAGCCATCTAATGGAATAATTCTAGATCTACTCTATTAATGCCACCTACAAGTACGTACTGTGTGTCATATAATTGGAACGTTAATTATGTTGAAAATACATTGTGGTAAACTCTTATCAAATATCCAGAAATCTTAAAGTTTCTCAAGTTTGCTTTTCTAAACAGTGATTTTGATAAAGTTTTTTGTAATTTTGTAAACACTAGTGTATAGTTAATATCAGCTTTTATCGTATTTCAGTGGGACCATGGTCACCACCAGTCATGAATGTTTCCACCAATAAATATCCATGTGGACAATGTGGAAAAGTTTTTACTATGACAAAGTACCTCAGACAGCATGAACAGTGTCATAACAACAAAGTCTACAGATGCCCTTACTGTTTTTTGGTTATTAAGTGGAAACATTATGTAGATGTACACGTGAAACGATATTGCCCTAACAAACCAAAGAATAAAACTTAAGGATGATTTTCTGATTCATTTTAATTCAAAGGTACAGAAAATGTTCAAGTCGGCCCCTGACTCCCTGTTTTTTTTACATTTCATGCAGAAAACCTCACTTGATAAGTCATAAAAACTGAACTTCAGTAGTGTGGAAATGTTGTATTGAACCATGAAAAGTACACTAAGGTTACAGGGTTCTTGGAAGAAATCAAAATTAAACTAATAAAGTCTGATTTATCAAGTTTATGATAGATGATGCAATACATTACATGTCAAAATCTTTGTGTAAGGCATTGATATAAGGTTGTCTGGATAAAGAATAATCTTTTGTATTAAATCTTTTGCTTATGCTGTCACTTGTAACTTAACGTCTTAAATATTTCATACAGAATGCCTTGTATTTCTAACAAGTCTTCCACATCTGCATTGTCCTTGAAGTTTCCAGAACCTTTTTGACCTTAGAGTTGTCAAATATCATTACTGATATTTTTGAGATGATTAAGTGTAATTTAATAATCTTTATATTGAATAATTCAGTGTATGCTTATTAGTTTAGTATGGTTATTTGTAATAAAAAATAGATTATAAAAATATAGATAACTGCATCAAGTAAACTTGGATTGAAATTGTAAAGTGTTTCACTGTAATAATTTGGAGATTCAAAAAGATGTATCTAGAATATTACAACCATTACTTCAAGAAATAAATTTTATTATTGGAGCATTTTTGAAATTCTTACTGTGATATAGTTTGGTTTTGATATTTTATGATGTGCCTTTATATTTCTGCACCATTTGGAAAACTGACTGTGACAAATTTTAGAGATCAAGTACAGTTTGTGGGAAAAAGAAAAATTACAATCTCTGAGTTTTAAAACAGCTATGTGATTTTTAGGATGAGGTGGGGATAAAGATTTATTTGGTTTCATTTTTGTTTTCCTCACCACTGTTTCCTTAGGTAAAATATATTTTATGTTCCTCATTAAGAAGCCCAAGTTCAGTCTTGTCATTTTTTATTTTTTGCCATCTCGATTTTGCTGGAGGAAAAAAATCCAAATATGTCTTGTTTAATCTACCTATTATTTAGTTACATCATTATACAATTTTTTTAATGGCTGTTGCTTTTTAATTCTGCTATAAAAATTTAGACATGATCTTATCGTTTTTGTTTGGAAATGGGAATGGACCCATTGAGTCGATGGTAGGTGTTAGTATACTTCAGTGGCATACAGTCATGCACTGTATGACTGATCAGAAAACTAAAAATGTGGTGATAACATTATACAATGAAATGTCTTTTATATTTATTACTATTATTTTACTATTTGTTTATTGCATGCTTCTTTGTGCTGTGGCAACATTCTCATCTCATGCTGTGAGAACCCTGCATATCTTATCTCAGTTATGTTATGCAAATTCTGCATTTTAACCTTGCACTTCCAGCACCATCCTGTTTTTTTGGAGTAATGTGACTATTGCCAGTTAGTAAAACCATGCAAATCATGCTGCATTGAAATAGCATGACAAATAGTGCATGCACAGAAGTTCAATGTCAACAATGTACAGGCTGCATTGCTTTGCTTCTCTTAATTTTGTGATTTTTTTTTTGGTAATATATTCTGTTGTCATTTGTCAGCTGGATTTTATTTACAAATAGGGTGAATAAACCTGTTCTCTGTATGTGTGTGTGTATTTATTTTTTATTTTTTCTATTTTGGAGGTATATTACATTAATAAGTTACTACTGCATGACCTGCTTTAAAACCCACCACATGCCATTGGTATACTTTCAACCTGAGTAGCTCCTTATGTGACACATGGGCCAAATAGTCATAGCCATCCCTAATTTTGAACTATTGAGCAACCACATTGAGGCTTGAACCTTGGATCTTCTGACCAGTGTGATATACAAGCATACTAGATGTCTTCTGTCCACTTTAACTCTTAAGTTCATTCAAAATGTTTCAATCATTCATGCATACAACTGCATATAAGTTTAGCATTGAACTTTGAAAAAGTAAGTGGCTAGATTCCCTTAATCTTAATTGCTTATTATTCTGGGTCATTAACCTATGGTATCACATGCTCCTTCTTATGGGAGAAATTAAAGTAGAATCCGGTTGACTTTACATGTAAATCTTATATTTTTCTATACAAGATCAAGCCTTTAACCTTCCTTGCTACCATTTCCACTCAACTGGTTTATTCTGCTACTTCATTCTTGTGTTTTTGAACCATTAAATTCAGTATTTGGCAATCTCAAAGACATTTCTTATTACCCCACCCATTATGTTGACAGAGCTCATGAATGAAAAGGTGTTGCTTTTCAACACATCAGATGCATAAGATCTGACCAAGGTTGCTAATTGGCTGGCTTTGAAGTATCCCAAGTTGCTGCAAATCTCCCAGACTGTTGGACAATCCTTAACATCTTGGTAGATGAAAGTTGAATCAGCTGAGATTTCTACAACACTAGCCTGCCAATGTAGATGAGTTTTCTATCAGCTCAACTTATTTTAGTCCCCATTCCATTGCTAGAGCATTTACCTTGCCCATTAAGAAGGCAACCAATGAAAGCCACAGGACCCCATTACAAAACTATGAAGTGCTCCATCACAAGGTGCAATGTGATAAAACATTGACCATGAGTGAGATCAACATAGGAGCTTCGATATATGCAACTTCTCAATCACTGTCCAATAGTGCCAAAAAATACCTCTGACAACAATAACTCAGACACACCCATCAGCAGGTTCCCATTTTTAAGGGGCTTTACCAAACCCATGCTGGTAAGTGGACTGAGGTCTGGATCCTTCACAACAGAATAGTGCATCAACTAGTGAAGTAGGCAGACCCACCATCTCTGTAGGAAGAGAAGGAGCAGCAATTCTGAGCTGAGATGACCCAAACGTGTGAGGGATAAAGAGATGAGGCAGACCACTGCGACCAGCTGAAAATCGACATCTGCATTCAGGTGTTCCGATGATCATCAAACTGGGGTGAGTGTTGCACTATTGTGTAGTCACTTTCATCATCTTCTACCTTTTTAATATTTTTTATGTAAAGAACATTGCCCTAATATAATTGTTGTTCAAATTTCCTACTTGCAAATGTACTGATATATTGATATTGCTAATGTACTAGCTATAATCAGCAAATGTTGTGTTTGATAATGTAAATTACTTTACCCTTCCTTATGATAACCTTTCTCTTCACATTCAACCACTTATGTTCAAGTATTTGTCACTGCACTAACTTTACCCGTCACACACAAAATTAATCATTCCTTTTTTCTTTTTTGGATGTAATGTTGATTTATTTTATGTTGTGTTTTTGATTTTAAATGGTACTATTTTGTATTTTTAATCTGATTCATGATAGGCTTGCCTTGTAATTAGGTAAAGGATTTATTTTTTTACCTTTTGATTCTAGTGTGTTTTGATCTTTGTTTTATTGATACTGAGGGGTTTTATCTTGTATTTAATGCGAAAGGGTTTCATTTTGTACTTTTGATTTTCATATGCTTTACTTTTAATTTAGTGTTTTCTTTCTTGTATTTTTGTTGTGATGTTGAGAGATTTCTTGTGCTTTAATTTTTTGTTATTTTTGTATCATAACCTAATTTTCTAAGAATTTATTCTATTTTGTTTTTTTTAATTATATGCCATAATGTGATATTGTATTAATATTGTTTTCACATTGTAATTTTGACGTTTAATAGTCTTTCATTATGTTTTGTGTTTTACTTTTGTGTTGTGGTGTTTATGTGTTTTTATAGGGTGAGAGTAAGTTACACCAGTTCTTACCTAATGCATGAGTTTATTTCAATGGAATTTTAAATTTTAAAATTAAGGGATGGTCTGAAAGCAAAGGGGATAAGAAATATGCAGTATATAGTCATACTAGGTGTTTTCTACTTCTTTATACAACTCTTACATTCATCAAAAAAATTTCATACGTACCAGTACATGTATGTTTAATGTACAACTGTAGTCAAGGTAGTGGCTAATTTCCTTTCATCCTAGTTACTTATTCTTTTGGGTCATTCACCTATGGTATCATGTGCACGTTTTCCTAGAAATAATGTATGTTAAGTACCACATACATCATAAAAATGGAAAGCAATATTTTCCACTGGAGAGTCATATGATACACTTGGACCTTTCTTATCATGAACCATTGTCATGGTTCATAATAGGGATTGCCCAGGAATTTCACAAAAATTCTAATAGAACTTATGGGCAAAAACCATCTTAAAAAGCAGACATGTTCTTGTAACAACACTCAAAACCTTCTATCTCAATTGCCAAGGCTGCTAATGTACTGATATGAGCAAAAAAAGTTGATTTTCCTATTGTTAGATAAAATTCTAAATTCATCCATTTGTTCGTTATATCATTGTTATTATTCATATTATTCTTGTTTCACAAGCCTACAGAAAAAAAAGGCTATGAATATTTTATTCAAACCTGGGCAAAACTACTAAAAAACTTCTGTGCAGGGCATAGGACTATTTTTGTGTTGATTCTTGAAACAGAAAGATTTTATCAGATTTCTCATCGCTACTGACCAAACTTCTCTTCAAAGCCATTCAAGCACTGAAGCCTATGGCAAAAACTGCTAGGTATACTGTGGCAAAATCTATGCAAAGCTACTAAACAAACTCCTGCAAAGGTTGTAGGACTATTTTTAAGTTGATTCTTGAAAGTTGAGATTATCACCCTCTAAAATTTTAAGTTCTTCTTTGCTACCAACATAAGCTCTTCAAAGCCATTCAAGCATCACAGAAATGTAGAAACCACTTAAGCACCATTATGCTAATTAAAAATACTCCATGTGATAGTAGTTGGAAACTGTATTATTAGAGTAAAAAATGTGTATATTATAACAGTGTTCCAGCCTTATAATTGGTATTGATTATAGTTTTACAAGCTGCTACAGAAATAATGGCTATGAATATTTTACTGAAACCTGGACAATAGTAATGAATGCAGTATTGAGTACTTCATGGGGTAGCTTTAAAATTCATTGAAGCATTTCCTTTTTTTACCCTGAAGAATATTATCTAAGTCCTTTACTTTCTGCCATTGAAAAAATCTGGTGTTTTACTAATGCGCATTAATTGGAAACTGCCATGTTGAGGATTCATCATTTCTTGAGTTTGCTGTTCTTTATTTATGAAACTGATTATTTTTTCATTAAAAGTTAATTTATGTGCCAATAAATGTATAATATCTACAATGTTGTTGTGGGCAGCTTCTTTTTTTTACTCAACACTTGTTAAACAGTTATTTGCACAAAACCACCTGGCTCAGTAAATAATGGTTGGGTGGAAAGAAAAAGCCAATGTGGCAATTAGCTGTTGAAAAAACATGTAACATTTATCTGAATGGATTTGCACGTGTGTTGCTTAAAACTTCTTTTCCATAAATGGACATAGTAAAACTTAAAAAATAAGATAATTAAAAATTGGTAATTTAAAAAGGGAATTGGATAGTTAAAGTACAGAAACAAGATGAATCAAAATGCAATGGTTAAATTTTCAAGCCTACAACAAGGGACTCTTTACAAAAAAAGGTAAACAAACTTGTCTGGAAATAC